CACTTCTTTGTTGCCTTGGCCGTGTGTTTTGGGTCATTGTCATGCTGGAATACCCATCCACGACCCATTTTCAATGCCCTGACTGAGGGAAGGAGGTTCTCACCCAAGATTTGACGGTACATGGCCCCGTCCATCGTCCCTTTGATGCGGTGAAGTTGTCCTGTCCCCTTAGCAGAAAAACACCCCCAAAGCATAATGTTTCCAACTCCATGTTTGACGGTGGGGATGGTGTTCTTGGGGTCATAGGCAGCATTCCTCCTCCTCCAAACACGGCGAGTTGAGTTGATGCCAAAGAGCTCCATTTTGGTCTCATCTGACCACAACACTTTCACCCAGTTCTCCTCTGAATTATTCAGATGTTCATTGGCAAACTTCAGACGGCCCTGTATATGTGCTTTCTTGAGCAGGGGGACCTTGTGGGCGCTGCAGGATTTCAGTCCTTCACGGCGTAGTGTGTTACCAATTGTTTTCTTGCCGACTATGGTCCCAGCTGCCTTGAGATCATTGACAAGATCCTCCCGTGCAGTTCTGAGCTGATTCCTCACCGTTCTCATGATCATTGCAACTCCACGAGGTGAGATCTTGCATGGAGACCCAGGCTGAGGGAGATTGACAGTTATTTTGTGATTCATCCATTTGCGAATAATCACACCAACTGTTGTCACCTTCTCACCAAGCTGCTTGGCGATGGTCTTGTAGCCCATTCCAGCCTTGTGTAGGTCTACAATCTTGTCCCTGACATCCTTGGAGAGCTCTTTGGTCTTGGCCATGGTGGAGAGTTTGGAATCTGATTGATTGATTGCTTCTGTGGACAGGTGTCTTTTATACAGGTAACAAGCTGAGATTAGGAGCACTCCCTTTAAGAGTGTGCTCCTAATCTCAGCTCGTTACCTGTATAAAAGACACCTAGGAGCCAGAAATCTTTCTGATTGAGAGGGGGTCAAATACTTATTTCCCTCATTAAAATGCAAATCAATTTATAACATTTGAGACATGCATTTTTCTTGATTCTTTTGTTGTTATTCTGTCTGTCACTGTTCAAATAAACCTACCATCAAAAGTATAGACTGATCATTTCTTTGTCAGTGAGCAAACGTACAAAATCAGCAGGGGATCAAATACTTTTTTTCCCTCACTGTATATCGTTTAGGACCTTGAACGTGGCTGAGGTACACCCATGACCAGCTCGGAAAACAGATTGCATAGCGGAGAAGGTACGGTGGGATTCGAAATGGTCGGTGATCTGTTTGTTAACTTGGCTTTCAAATACTTTCGAAACGCAGGGCAGGACGGATATAGGTCTGTAACAGTTTGGATCTAGAGTGTCACCCCCTTTGAAGAGGGGGATGACCGCGGCAGCTTTCCAATCTCTGGGGATCTCAGACGATACGAAAGAGAGGTTGAACAGGCTGGTAATAGGGGTTGCATGGGCAAGGGGGGGGGCATGGGCAAGTTGCAGCGGAGGGTACAGAGCTGGTGGCCGGGGTTGGTGCAGCGAGGTGGAAAGCATGGCCAGCCGTAGCAAAATGCTTGTTGAAATGATCGATTATCGTAGATTTATCGGTAGTGACAGTGTTTCTTAGCCTCAGTGCAGTGGGCAGCTGGGAGGAGGTGCTCTTATTCTCCATGGACTTTACAGTGTCCCAAAACTTTTTGGAGTTAGTGCTACAGGATGCACATTTCTGTTTGAAAAAGTTAGCCTTTGCTTTCCTAACTGATTGTGTATATTGGTTCCTGACTTCCCTGAAAAGTTGCATATCGCGGGGGCTGTTCGATCCTAATGCAGTACGCCACAGGATGTTTTTGTGCTGGTCAAGGACAGTCAAGTCTGGGGTGAACCAAGGCATATATCTGTTCTTAGTTCTGAATTTTTTGAATGGGGCATGCTTATTTAAGATGGAGAGGAAAGCACTTTTAAAGAACAACCAGGCATCCTCTACTGACAGAATGAGGTCAATATCCATCCAGGATACCCGGGCCAAGTCAATTAGAAAGGCCTGCTCGCTGAAGTGTTTTAGGGAGCGTTTGACAGTGATGAGGGGTGGTCGTTTGACCGCGGACCCATTACAGACGCAGGCAATGAGGCAGTGATCGCTGAGATCCTGGTTGAAGACAGCGGAGGTGTATTTAGAGGGTAAATTAGTCAGGATGATATCTATGAGGGTGCCCATGTTAACGGATTTATGGTTGTACCTGGTATGTTCCCTGTTAATTTGTGTGCGATTGAGGGCATCTACTTTAGATTGTAGGATTGCCGGGGTGTTAAGCATATCCCAGTTTAAGTCACCAAGCAGTACGAACTCTGAGGATAGATGGGGGCAATCAATTCACATATGGTGTTCAGGGCACAGCTGGGGGCTGAGGGGGGTCTGTAGCAAACAGCAACAGTGAGAGACTTATTTCTGGAAAGGTGGATTTTTAGAAGTAGAAGCTCAAACTGTTTGGGCACAGACCTGGATAGTATGATAGAGCTCTGCAGGCTATCTCTACAGTAGATTGCAAATCCGCCCCCTTTGGCAGTTCTATCTAGATGGAAAATGTTGTAGTTGGGAATGGACATTTCAGAATCTTTGGTGGCCTTCCTAAGCAAGGATTCAGACTGCTAGAACATCAGTGTTGGCGGAGTGTGCTAATTCAGTGAATAACTAAAACTTAGGGAGGAGGCTTCTGATGTTAACATGCAAGAAACCAAGGCTTTTGTGGTTATAGAAGTCAACAAATGATAGCGCCTGGGGAGCAGGAGTGATACTGGGGGCTACAGGGCCTGGGTTAACCTCTACATCACCAGAGGATCAGAGGAGGAGTAGAATAAGGATACGGCTAAAGGCTTTAAGAAACTGGTCTTCTAGTGCGTTGGGTACAGAGAAAAAAATTCTGGCCGTTGTAGAATAGATTCAGGGCATTATGTACAGACAAGGATATGGAAGGATATGAGTACAGTGGAGGTAAACCTAAGCGTTGGGTAAAGATGAAAGAGCTAGCATCACTGGAGGCACCGATTGAGCTGGTCTCCGCATGTGTGAGGGGTGGGACAAATGAGCTATCTTAGACAGGTTGAGCAGGACTGGGGGCTCTACATTGAAAAAGTACAGTTAGAACTAACCGAAACAGCAATAGGCAAGGCATATTGACATGGGAGAGAGGCATAAAGCAGTCACAGGTGCTATTCGAGAGAGCTAAGACAACAGCTGGTAATGGCGACGAAAGTTTGAGCTGAGGCTAAACAGGATGGGGTACCGTATAAAGGAACAGTCCAGCAGGCATCAGCTGTGTAGCTGAGTGATCATAAGTTCCAGTGAACAGCAATAAGTAAGTCCGGGAGCAGTTCAGTGGCTGCTACGCTATAGGTGAGCTGGAGGCACGGCTGTTGATTGCGTGTGCTTGCGGGCCGGGGCTAGCAGATGGATCTTCGTGGTCGTCGCAACGGGAAGCCTGTTGATTACGTCAGCAGACCAGTCGTGATGGATTGGCGGGGCTCCGTGTCAACACCAGGAGGTCCCGTCCGGTTGACAGAGAGGTAGATAGCCAGGAGATGGGCCTGGCTCGAGGCTAGCTCAAGGCTAACTGGGGTTAGCTTCAGGACAGTGGTGATTAGCCAACAACGACAACAGCCATTCAGTTGTAGCTAGCTAGTTGCTATGATCCGGTGTTAAGGTCCAGTGATTCAGTGATTCCGGCAGAAAATCCGATATGCTCTGGCTCGATAGCGCGATGTGCAGACTGTGCAGACTGGCCGACAATTGTCCAGGCTAGAGCTGGCTGGTAGGTAGGTAGTGCAGGCCACGGCCACGGACAATGGTGAAGACCGCTAACGGTGGCTAATAGCAAGTAGCTAGTTAGCTGGCTAGCTGGCTAGTTTCAGCCAGAGGTTCTGTATAAAAATGTATGAAGAAACAACAGAATCCGTTCCACATTGGGTGAGGCGGGTTGCAGGAAAGTATATTTAGTTAAAGGATGGAAAGTGAGATTGAGAAATATATACGAAAAAGACAAAAAAACTAGAAACTGGCTATTTACATGAGGACACTACAGAAAACATGACCACACTGCTATGCAATCTTGGAACAAGCTTGGCTCACCTGTTTTTGGGGAGTTTCTCCCATTCTTCTCTGCAGATCCTCTCAAGCTCTGTCAGGTTGGATGGGGAGCGTCGCTGCACAGCTATTTTCAGGTCTCTCCAGAGATGTTCGATTGGGTTCAAGTCTGGGCTCTGGCTGAGCCACTCAAGGACATTCAGAGACTTGTCCCGAAGCCACTCCTGTGTTGTCTTGGCTGTGTGCTTAGGGTCATTGTACTGTTGGAAGGTGAACCTTTGCCCCAGTCTGAGGTCCTGAGCGTTGTGGAGCAGGTTTTCAGCAAGGATCTCTCTGTACTTTGCTCTGTTCATCATTCCCTTGATCCTGACTAGTCTTCCAGTCCCTGCCGCTGAAAAACATCCCCACAGCATGATGCTGCCACTACTATGCTTCACCGTAGGGATGGTGCCAGGTTTCCTCCAGACGTGACGCTTGGCATTCAGGCCAAAGAGTTCAATCTTGGTTTCATCAAACCAGAGAATCTTGTTTCTCATGGACTGAGAGTCCTTTAGGTGCCTTTTGGCAAACTCCAAGTGGGCTGTCATGTAACTTTTACTGTGGAGTGGCTTCCGTCTGGCCACTCTACCATAAAGGCCTGATTGGTGCAGAGATGGTTGTCCTTCTGGAAGGTTCTCCCATGTCCACAGAGGAACTCTGGAGCTCTGTCAGAGTGACCATCGGGTTCTTGGTCACCTCCCTGACCAAGGCCCTTCTCCCCCGATTGCTCAGTTTGGTCGGACGGCCAGCTCTAGGAAGAGTCTTGGTGGTTCCAAATGTCTTGGAATTCCATTCCACACAGACACTGGAGGACAGCATAACAACTCACTGCATGCCTTGAATGAATGGACACAACATGGTAGGATTATATTTACAGGATACAAAAAGTATCAAGTATCAATCTCCTCAATCCTCCTGATTTTCCAGGTATCAGTCCTGAGAAACATCACCTGCTGGAGCAGGCCTTCTGCTGGCCTGATCTCCACTGAGCTGCCAGTCCTATCTTCACCGTACCTGCCCTCTTCCCCCTTACTCCAATCATGGTCTGGTTGAGCCATCTGCCTTTCTGACTTCTGTTTAAAAAAGAGACACCAACCTCGTCTCCGAAGTGTTGACCAGATAGTTGACTAGTTGACTAGTCATCCGGTTAAAGAAACGTACTTGCCCGTCAACTTTTCATTGTGTAGCCCAGTGCGCCCTCCTGTGGTCTCTTAAAAATGGTTATTCACCAACATCTTTTTCATTGTTGTTACCAAATAATGTCTCATAATTTATGTTTTACAGATTAATGTTATGTTTTGAGAAAGTAGATAACAGTTTAATACTAAAATATAAATGAGTATGAACAATTTACATCAAATAAAACTTTAATTTCAGTGATGTGCATTGACATAAACAATGAAAACACTGTTGGAGTTTGTGTTGCAGAGATGCACTTGGAAAGTAAAGGAAGATGGGTTGAATAAATAAATAAAATAAATTAAAAAAAATATATATATATATATATATATATATATATATATATATATATATATTATATTTTAGACATGTAATTTATTTTACAAATAAATCATTGCATATGAAAACAAACAATTGAATCTCGACCTCCATCCCTATATTGTCACAGAAATCACAATGAAAATTCAGCTCCACCACCACCTCTGGATCCCATTGCACTGCATCGCAGTGCTTGAGGCGTCACTAAAGCCCTGGATTCGATCCCAGGCTGTGTCACAGCTGGCCGTGACCAGGAGACCCATGAGGCGGCGCACAATTGGCCCAGCGTCGTCCGGGTTAGGGGAATATTTGGCCGGCAGGGATTTCCTTGTCCCATCGCGCTCTAGCGACACATTGGTGCGGCTGGCTTATTTTCCAGTCCATTAAAATTTTGAGCTCGAGGTGATTTAGTCCTTCAACCGCTAGAGAGTGTCCGAAGTTAGGGGGTGTTCGATGTTGGGGGAAAATTAGCTAGCAAGACAGCACAAACAGATCTGGGACCAGGCTAACATTGTGTCTTCTAAAGTGATAGCTAGGCATAATTGCACCTCCTGTGTAAGACTTCCCATTACAATAACAATAGCAACAACTGAAGCTCTTCATCCCTTGTTACTCAAATAAACCATTTAAAACCTGTCAAAACATCTAGATAGCTAGCAATTCTGGCCCTGAGAGGCACAGCAGCAGGTATACACGGCAGAGTAGCTATACTTTTCAATTGATTAATTGTTAGACTTATTTGAATAAACATTCGTTTAAAGGGGATGTTTTGTGTACCAATCAATATATTCATGTTGTAATAGTACCCCACATTCTGCAGTGTAAGCTGTATTAGTGTGAATGCAATTTTCATCATGAGTCATTGCTCAGGAATGTCCGCCTGCTTTCCCACAGGGCCTGATTAGAGAGCAGAGAGCTGAGGGTTTGAATGAAACCACTCTACACACCCACACTCCCTCAACACTGAGGGAACTCCTCTCATGTCTCACATTATCATTATCTCACAATGAGCCCTCTCAAGGGGAAGGTATACATCACTGCATTAAAAAAATGAAACAAGCATCCATCACAAACAATATTCTGATAATATTTGTTTTATACTTAGGGGTTGTAGGTAAATGCATTAAAATTACTGTGGAAGAGATGCATCATTTATAGAATAGATATTCATAGCTCCAGTGACAATTTGACTCAACTTAGTACATTGCATTGCATCAATTACATTATTATTACATTATTGATGCTCCTGAGTAGATATATTTACAGTTAACCAATGACCACATTTCCTCCCCAGGACTTTCATTATATATAGTGAAGTGGCGCCGGAGAAGATGGCTGCCGTTTTACAGCCCTCTAACCAATTGTACTATTATGTGTGTTTTTTCACGTTATTTGTAATTTATTCTGTATATAATGTTTCTACCACCGTCTCTTATGACCAAAAATAAATTCTGGATATCAGGACAGCGATTACTCACCTGGTATTGGACGAAGATTTTTTCTTCAACGAGCCGGACGCGAAGGATGTCCTACAGACACCCGACAAGGCCCAAATCCCTGTCATTCGCATGAGAAAGAGACAGAGATATCGTGGACGTAGGTCGGGTTCCTTGTAAGGATCCAACGGCGAGCGAGTAAACTGCCTCTTCCATCATTCCTATTAGCCAATGTTCAATCATTTGAGAACAAATTGGACGACCTAAGATTACGGTTATCCTACCAACGGGACATTAAAAACTGTAATATCTTATGTTTCACCGAGTCGTGGCTGAACGACGACATGGACAACATACAGCTGACGGGATATACGCTACATCGGCAGGATAGAACGGCTGATTCCGGTAAGACAAGGGGTGGCGGTCAGTGTACATTTGTAAAAAACAACAGCTGATGCACAAAATCTAATACTAAGGAAGTCTCAAGGTTTTGCTCGCCTGAGGTAGAGTATCTCATGATAAGCTGTAGACCACACTATTTACCAAGAGACTTTTCATCTATATTTTTCGTAGCTGTCTAACTACCACCACAAACCGATACTGGCATTAAGATTGCACTCAATTAGCTGTATAAGGCCATAACTAAACAGGAAAACGCTCATCCAGAGGCAGCGCTCCTAGTGGCTGGGGACTTTAATGCAGGGAAACTTAAATCCGTTCGACCTAATTTCTACCAGCATGTTAAATGTGCAACCAGAGGAAAAAAAAACTCTAGACCACCTTTACTCCACACACAGAGACGCATACAAAGCTCTCCCTAGCCCTCCATTTGGCAAATCTGACCATAACGCTATCCTCCTGCAAAAACTAATGCACGAAGCACCAGTGACTCTGTTAATAAAAAAGTGGTCAGATGATGCAGATGCTAAGCTACAGGACTGTTTTGCTAGCACAGACTGGAATATGTTCCGGGATTCTTCAGATAGCATTGAGGAGTACATCACATCAGTCACTGGCTTCATCAACAAGTGCATTGATGACGTCATCCCCACAGTGACCGTACGTACATACCCCAACCAGAAGCCATGGATTACAGGCAACATACGCACTGAGCTAAAGGGTAGAGCTGTCGCTTTCAAGGAGCGGGACTCTAACCCGGACGCTTATAAGAAATCCCGCTATGCCCTCAGACGAACCACCAAACAGGCAAAGAGTCAATACCGGACTAAGATTGAATTGTATTACACCGGCTCTGACACTCGTTGGATGTGGCAGGGCTTGAAAATTATTACAGACTACAAAAAGGAAGCACAGCCGCAAGCTGCCCAGTGACACATGCCTACCAGACGAGCTAAATCACTTCTAAGCTCGCTTCGGGCAAGCAACACTGAAGCATGCATGAGAGCACCACCTGACTATGTGATCACGCTCTCCATAGCCGATGTCAGTAAGACTTTTAAGCAGGTCAACATTCACAAGGCCGCAGGGCCAGACGGATTACCAGGACGTGTACTCCGAGCATGTGCTGACCAACTGGCAAGTGTCTTCACTGACATTTTCAACATGTCCCTGACTGAGTCTGTAATACCAACATGTTTCAAGCAGACCACCATAGTCCCTGTGCCCAAGGACACTAAGATAACCTGCCTAAATGACTACCGACCCGTAGCACTCACGTCTGTAGCCATGAAGTGCTTTGAAAGGTTGGTCATGGCTCACATCAACACCATTATCCCAGAAACCCTAGACCCACTCCAATTTGCATACCGCCCCAACAGATCCACAGATGATGCAATCTCTATTGCACTCCACACTGCCCTTTCCCACCTGGACAAGAGGAACACCTACGTGAGAATGCTGTTCATTGACTCCAGCTCAGCGTTCAACACCATAGTGCCCTCAAAGCTCATCACTAAGCTAAGGATCCTGGGACTAAACACCTCCCTCTGCAACTGGATACTGGACTTCCTGACGGGCTGCCCCCAGGTGGTAAGGGTAGGCAACAACACATCTGCCACGCTGATCCTCAACACGGGGGCCCCTCAGGGGTGTGTGCTCAGTCCCCTCCTGTACTCCCTGTTCACCCATGACTGCATGGCCAGGCACGACTCCAACACCATCATTAAGTTTGCTGACAACACAACAGTGGTAGGCCTGATCACCGACAACGATGAGACAGCCTATAGGGAGGAGGTCCAGGACCTGGCCGTGTGGTGCCAGGATAACAACCTCTCCCTCAACGTGATCAAGACAAAGGAGATGATTGTGGACTACAGGAAAAAAAAGAGGACTGAGCACGCCCCCATTCTCATCGACGGGGCTGTAGTGGAACTGGTTGAGAGCTTCAAGTTCCTTGGTGTGCATATCACCAATGAACTATCATGGTCCAAACACACCAAGACAGTCGTGAAGAGGGCATGACAAAGCCTATTCCCCCTCAGGAGGCTGAAAAGATTTGGCATGGGTCCTCAGAAAGTTCTACAGCTGCACCATCAAGAGCATCCTGACTGGTTGCATCACCGCCTGTTATGGCAACTGCTCGGCCTCCGACCGCAAGGCACTACAGAGGGTAGTGCGTACAACCCAGTACATCACTGGGGCCAAGCTTCCTGCCATCCAGGACCTCTATACCAGGCGGTGTCAGAGGAAGGCCCTCAAAATTGTCAAAGACTCCAGCCACCCTAGTCATAGACTGTTATCTCTGCTACCACATGGCAAGTGGTACCGGAGCACCAAGTCTAGGTCCAAAAGGCTTCTCAACAGCTTCTACCCCCAAGCCATAAGACTCCTGAACAGCTAATCATTGCTACCCGGACTATTTGCCACTGCCCTCCCACCACCAACCCCCCTTTTACGCTGCTGCTACTCTGTCTATTATTTATGCATAGTCACTTTAACTCTAGCCACATGTACATATTACCTCAATTACCTCGACTAGCCGGTGCCCCCGCACATTGACTCTGCACCGGTACCCCCCTGCATATAGCCTCCCTACTGTTATTTTATTTTACTGCTGCTCTTTAGTTATTAGCTTTTTTTTTTTTTTTTACTTAACACTTAAAAAAAAAAAATCTAAAAAAATGCATTGTTGGTTAAGGGCTTGTAAGTAAGCATTTCACTGTAATGTCTACACCTGTTGTATTCGACGCATGTGGCAAATATAATTTTATTTTATTTTATTTTATTCAACTTTATTACATCTGCAGTCAGATAGAAATGCTTAGCGTCTAGGTAGGTATTGAGCTGCACCCCTTCTTTTGGTGAATTTGTGTGTTTGATGTCCAGAATTGACAATATCACATGTGCCAACTAAATCAGTCTTTGTCCAGTTAATTAAAATCACCCTCCTTGCATAGATTATACATCGGGCTATTTGTACTTTAATTTCCATTTGATTGTGCTCAATTGATTGGGGAAAATAAGTCCATTTACATTTGCAAAGACTTACTACAGGTAGACCGAGGCGAGGCTATGTTTGGATAATACCCATGCCTTTGAATGTGCTAAACAGCGATACTACAGCCTCAATTCCATGGAGATGAGACCATTGTGTTATGCTGTTCAATCAGGTTTAGCCTATCTGCTCTTCTCCCTAACATGGGTAGCAGTGGAGGCTGGTGGGAGGAGCTATAGGAGGATGGGATCATTGTAATGGCTGGAATGGAATTTTGGAACGGTATCAAACAGATCAAACATATGGAATCCAACTGCTCGACATCCAACTGTAAGGCTCTACAGAGCGTAGTGAGTACAGCCTAGTACATCACTGGGGCCGAGCTCCCTGCCATCCAGGTCCTCCACACCAGGCGGTGTCGGAGGAAGGCCCTAAAAATTGTCAAACTCCAGCCTCCCAAATTATAGACTGTTCTCTCTGCTACTGCACAGCAAGCGATACCGGAGCGCCAAGTCTGGGACCAAAAGGCTCCTAAACAGCTTCTACCCCCAAGCCATTAGACTGCTGAACAGTTAATCAAATGGCTACCTAGAGTATTTACATTGGGGGGTTCTATGCACACACACTAGACTCTACCCACACACTCACAGATACTACACTGACACTCCAACATACACACACACACATACACACACACAAAACACACACGAATATTGACGTCACACACACTCACACATAGACACACTTTCACACTCTTTCACACTCTTCCCATGTGCTGCTGCTACTGTTTATGATCTATCCTGATTGCCTACTCCCTTTTACCCCTACCTACATGTACATATTACCTCAATTACCTCAACTACATCTTAATCATGCACATTGACTCGGTCCCGGTACTCCTTGTACAGTACATAGCCTCGTTATTGTTATTTTATTGTGTTACTACTTTCCTTTTTTATTTAGCAAATTTTTTTTCTTACTTTTTAACTCTGCATTGTTGGGAAAGGGCTTGTAAACTCCTTGATTACACCTACAAAATGGTACGCAGCATCATCTGGATATGTGCGCAACAAAAGTTCAACATTCACCTTCTGCTACCATTTCTGTCATTTTTTAATTTTTTTACTGTCATGCCATCTATGCATCAATTTTGCATCAATTTTGCATCAATTTTGACACATATGTTCGATAAATCCAACATATGCACCACACAGAACGCACTGCAACTGCCTCTGCAAACGCAGAATTCCATTGGAAATGAATGTACTTCTGGTGTACCAAAATGCAATGACGCTGTCGGCGTAAGTAAGCATTTCAGGGAAAGTCTACACCTGTTGTATTCGGCGCATTTGCCAAATAATATTTTATTTTATTTTATTCATACTGTATGTCCCATATTTTTCTTGATAGTACATTCAAATATTGTCTTTTGGCATGAACTGAATGGTTAAACATATTCATGAGTTATAATTAATTTGAATTTTCATTATCTGTGCATATCTTCTTTCACAACTCATCAGTGCTCCTTCATAATAGAAACACAATGCTTTGTATTGTATCGTGATAATAAGCTTGTTATAATACTGTTGGAAGTGGAACATTTGGGATCTTCTTGTTCTCATGTGTGTGAAGGTGGTTTTGTTCTTCATTATGGCTATAATTGGATTATGCTCTGCTCTGTGTGTGTGTTCGTGTGTGTGTGTTCTTGTGTTCGTGTGTGTGTGTGTGAGTGTGAGTGTGTGTGTGAGTGTGTGTGTGTGTGTGTGTGTGTGTGTGTGTGTGTGTGTGTGTGTGTGTGTGTGTGTGTGTGTGTGTGTGTGTGTGTGTGTGTGTGTGTGTGGGTGAGTGAGTGAGTGAGTGCGTGCGTGTCTGCATACGTGCATGTGGAAGTGAGCGTGGCTTGTCCTTTCCACCTGGAACCTAAGCATATGCAGCTGACGAACGGAGGGTCTGCACAGACTGGAGAGAGCTGGAGAGATCTACTGGCTGAAGGTAAAGTATATTACTTTATACATCATAATACTATATTTAATAATTCTATAACGTTCAAATAAGTAGCATAAGCAAAGGTTGTCTTGTAATTTTTGCTATTTTGCTACAATAGGAAACACTTGCATGCTTTCTGCATTTTATATTGTCATTTGTTTGAATAGTTTTTAGCAATAGTGGTAGTTCCAGTAACAATAGTGCTAGTTGCAGTTACGTTCAAATATACTGTAATATTACAGTCGATGTCTGTGCGTTTCTGGTAATTACCTTTCATATTAATTTGGTAATGTTGCAGTGGCCTTTTACAATCACTGGCATTATTTTCATGCATCTATGTATGTTTTCAATATTACACATAAATAATGTATTTTCAAAAACAAATTGATAGCATTTTGATGCTTTGGGAGCCTGTCTCATTGGAGTATGATTGTTCTTTTACATAAAAATACTGCTGACAAATAATGCATGTCTATAAGGCAAAACATCTGAAACCAAAAACAAAGAAAATCTTAGGGGAAAGAGAGACAGAGCATATAAGTGCTTGCGTGAGAGATTAAATCAAATCTTAATGACTTGCTAAACTGCTTGCTAGGTAAATGGTCTGTTGTGAGGCCAAAGCAAACACACACCCCCAGGCTCTCATCAGATAGCTGTGTGTTAGCATACCTACTGCTGGCTCTGCTTCCCATGCCAGATGAGTCAGGCTCGTAAGTGCCCATTTATATGCCCACTAGCAAGCACTTCCACCACCAGCCAGGGTCCATGGCCATGGGACCGCTTTCACTATCACAGTGCTTAACCCATTACAGTCTAAGCCCTGTCTAGGCCGGGGGAGCTATATGGAATTGTTTTAAGAAGGTCATACCAAGGATCATTTTGCTATTTTATTTTGGGGAAAAAAATCTAAGGGAAGTTTGTTCTGAAGTGTCTGTCCTATATATGAGAAATATAAGAAAGATCAGAAAACGTTTGTTATCTTTTTGGACATGTATTTAACCCCTTATTTATGGCACTAAACAGTCTAAGCCGGGGGATGGGTTCTACTATATGGAATTGTTTTAAGAATGTCATACCAAGGATCATTTTGCTATTTGATTTTGAATTTTAAGCCCCTTGAAATATCAAAAATATATCTAAAACATAAATTTTTGGGGGGGCCTTACTGCTATTAGCCCATACAAACGCATTGAATAACAGATTCACTACATGGAACAACAGATAGTCCCCCCAAAAAAAATCTAAAGGAAGTTTGTTCTGAAGTGTCTGTCCTATATTTGAGAGGTATAAGAAAGATCAGGAAACATGTATTTAACCCCGTATTTTTGGCACTAAACAGTCTCCATACAGTATATGATGTCCTTCCATTCATTTTTTCAACTGGTACCGGGGGACCTTCAGACGAGTATTGTGAGGCCTGTGGGCATTCTAGAGCAAAACAACTGACATGTAGGTGTAGCCCAAACTGTTCGGACGCTACAGACAGAAGTTGGCAGATTGGCTGTACTGACTTCAGACTGGTCCCAAAACGCTGTTCGTGAGAGTCTCATCTTTCCATAGAGGAGTCATAATATACTGAACAAAAATATAAACGCAACATATAAAGTGTTGGTCCCATGCTGAAATAAAAGATCCCAGAAATTTTCCATACGCACAAAAAGCGTATTTCTCTCAAATGTTGTGCACAAATTTGTTTACATCCCTGTTATGAGCATTTCTCCTTTGTCAAGATAATCCATCCACCTGACATGTGTGGCATATCAAGAAGCTGATTAAACAGTATGATCATTATACAGATGCACCTTGTGCTGTTGACAATAAAAGGCCACTCTAAAATGTGCAGTTTTGTCACACAACACAATACCACAGATGTATTAAGTTTTGCGGAAGAGTGCAATTGGCATGCAGGAATGTCCACCAGAGCTGTTGTCAGATAGTTAAATGTACATTTCTTTACCATAAGCCGCCTCCAACGTCGATTTTAGAGAATTTGTCAGTACGTCCAATTGGCCTTACAACCGCAGACCACGTGTAACCATGCCAATCCAGGACCTCCACATCCGGCTTATTCACTTGCGGGATTGTCTGAAACCAGCTACCCGGACAGCTGATGAAACTGGGTTTGCACAACCGAAGAATTTCTGCACAAACTGTCAGAAACCATCTCAGGAAAGCTTATCTGTGTGCTCGTCGTTCTCACCAGGGTCTTGACCTGACTGCAGTTCGGCGTTGTAACCAACTTCATGGGGCAAATGCTCACCTTCGATGGCCACTGACACGCTGGAGAAGTGTGCTATTCATGGATGAATACCGGCTTCAACTGTAGCGGGTAGATGGCAGACAGTGTGTATGGCGTCGTGTGGGCGAGCGGTTTGCTGATGTCAACGTTGTGAACAGAGTGCCCCATGGTGATGGTGGGGTTATGGTATGGGCAGGTATAAACTACGGACAACGAACACAATTGCATTTTATCAATGGCAATTTGAATGCACAGAGATACCGTGACGAGATCCTGAGGCCCATTGTCGTGCCATTCATCCGCCGCCATCACGTCATGTTTCAGCATAATAATGCACGGCCCCATGTCCCAAGGATCTGTACACAATTCCTGGAAGCTGAAAATGTCCCAGTTATTCCATGGCCTGCATACTCACCAGACATGTCACCCCTTGAGCATGTTTGGGATGCTCTGGATCCACGTGTACGACAGCATGTTCCAGTTCCAGCCAATATCCAGCAACTTCGCACAGCCATTGAAGAGGAGTGGGACAACATTCCATAGGCCACAATCAACAGCCTGATTACCTCTATGCGAAGGAGATGTGTCGTGCTGCATGAGGCAAATGGTGGTCACACCAGAAACTGACTGGTTTTCTGATCCACGGTCCTACTTTTTTTTTTTAAGGTATCTGTGACCAACAGATGCATATTTGTATTCCCAGTCATGTGAAATCCATAGATTAGGGCCAAATGAATTTACTTCAGTTGACTGATTTCCTTATATGAACTGTAACTCAGTAAAATCTTTGAAGTTCTTGCTTGTTGCGTTTATATTTTTGTTCAGTGTAGTTTGTAGGCCAAACCGTTTGGATGCTACAGACAATACAAGACTGATTTTTGGGACATTTCATGGTCTGACAAACACTGCTCTAACTCTGTCACCTTTCACCGCAGATTAACAGTTTAAACTGATTTTTATGTTTTTTTATTTATAATGCTAATTAGATTTCCGCTGGGGCGCGGACATCGACTCTAGGGGGTAATCTGTGTCCACACTGCCTGCACTAATACACTTCAATTAGTGTCAAATTGTCAGGCATCTACTTCAAATATTTATGTTGAATGGAAATTGAAATGTGTGCTTTGTTTCGTTTGGTGCTGTATGTTTCCATACTATTAAAATCAAAGTTTATTGGTCACGTACACACATTTGCAGATGTTATCCCAGGTGCAGCGAACATAGTTACGATTTTCAGCCTGACTTTTTCATGTGAATTTTGTTGTTTCGTGTTCTGCCGATCTGCTTTTGTTTTTTTTGCACCTTCCTTGTGGAATGATCTCCAAGGCTCTCTAAAGTTGGATGAATCGGTGGGTAGGTTACGCTTACCAACACTCCCCCTCTTCAGTCCTGTAATGTTCACATGCGTGAAACACACGCCTTTACCAGCACAAACTGTCACATCACATAGTCCTTCTATCCTTACATGGCCATGTTGGGCTGAGCATGAGCATGAAAGCCCATATGATCAGACAAGCAGCTTTCTTCCAGGGGGGCTAATGATAACTGATCTTCACAGTACAAAGCTCCGCAGGCCTTTTCATGTCACCTTCATTGAGTGGAGGGGCTGCTGCTGCTGAGCTGGAGGATAAAGTGGCTGGCCCATTGAAGAGAGTAAAGAGGCCAGTAACAGACAATGCTCCACTGCCATCGCGGTGCCACTGAAACACACAACCAAAATAGGAATTATAGAGAGAGAGAGAGAGAGTGAGAGAGAGAGAGGTGCTAAGTGAGCTCTTTCATATATTACATAGAGCATTGAGAAAATGCATACACAGATGCATGTGTACAAAAGAACTGCAGCAGTGTAACAAGATTGGCAACCCCTTTGGATGCAAAATATTATTAGTTACACAGTATAATAAATCAACAATGAGATGAATAATTGCAAACAACACAGGGAAAATTTGAAATAAACCAGGCCAGGCCCCTGATTGAACTGGTCAAACAATAATCTCTGATTCACCTCATAAAATGAAAATGATATATGATTGGCACAATATTTTTCAGGACACGCACACTGCTGGTGCAATGGACGAGCCTCTCTGGACCTCAGTGTCAGGTGGAGCCCTGCAGTAGGATGCTGGAGTCTATGTTTGTCTGGGGTTCCCCTCCTGTGACCTCTCACCTTTGGCTGCTCATTCTGTCCTGCTCTCTTCATGGTCAACCAGCCCTGTCTGACCTGGGTGAGTGAGAGGCAAACTGAATACAGAGTGCACAGTATCTATGCTCTCGCTTTTGTTTCTGTTATTGCAGTTTAATGTTAAAGAGTGGAGCCAAATGTGGTCAGGAACTTGGTGTTGCCTAATGATTGCATGCATAATTAATACATAGACTGGTTGCTGCACAATGATTGCATAATACTGGTGAGTTAATTTTTCTCTGTCATTTAATTAATGACATTTATAGAACAATGTTTTCATTAGAGATAGGTCCGCCCTTTATGACCTGCAACACTAATACTACGAGTTCATTATGTATCAATGAAATACTGATAACTATCATGATTTCTGCAATGATCAAGACCAGTTTTTCTAAATAGTTCCCATGCTAATTTCCAGACCCCATGTATAATGTGACAAAAGGCTTTAAAAAATCTGCTTCAGCTTCATCTGTCTCCTAGCAACATGCAGCTTCACACCACACCGTAATCTGTGATTTCTCCCAGTCCTCAGATAGATTGGGTGTTTGGGAACATATTCAATCATTAGATCTTTTGTAAATTCATATATTAATGTTATTGAATCCTCTTATGTTTTTTATTTTATTCTTTAGAGTAATAACTCAAAACAATACTCACTTTTGCTGGCTACTTCACTGTCAATTATTGCATCTAACATTCATGTTTTGAAGTAAAGTATTCGTATTACTATACATACAGTGGGGAAAAAAAGTATTTAGTCAGCCACCAATTGTGCAAGTTCTCCCACTTAAAAAGATGAGAGAGGCCTGTCATTTTCATCATATGTACACGTCAACCATGACAGACAAATAGAGATTTTTTTTCTCCAGAAAATCACATTGTAGGATTTTTAATGAATTTATTTGCAAATTATGGTGGAAAATAAGTATTTGGTCACCTACAAACAAGCAAGATTTCTGGCTCTCACAGACCTGTAACTTCTTCTTTAAGAGGCTCCTCTGTCCTCCACTCGTTACCTGTATTAATAGCACCTGTTTGAACTTGTTATCAGTATAAAAGACACCTGTCCACAACCTCAAACAGTCACACTCCAAACTCCACTATGGCCAAGACCAAAGAGCTGTCAAAGGACACCAGAAACAAAATTGTAGACCTGCACCAGGCTGGGAAGACTGAATCTGCAATAGGTAAGCAGCTTGGTTTGAAGAAATCAACTGTGGGAGCAATTATTAGGAAATGGAAGACATACAAGACCACTGATAATCTCCCTCGATCTGGGGCTCCACGCAAGCTCTCACCCCGTGGGGTCAAAATGATCACAAGAACGGTGAGCAAAAATCCCAGAACCACACGGGGGGACCTAGTGAATGACCTGCAGAGAGCTGGGACCAAAGTAACAAAGCCTACCATCAGTAACACACTACGCCGCCAGGGACTCAAATCCTGCAGTGCCAGACGTGTCCCCCTGCTTAAGCCAGCACATGTCCAGGCCCGTCTGAAGTTTGCTAGAGTGCATTTGGATGATCCAGAAGAGGATTGGGAGAATGTCATATGGTCAGATGAAACCAAAATAGAACTTTTTGGTAAAAACTCAACTCGTCGTGTTTGGAGGACAAAGAATGCTGAGTTGCATCCAAAGAACACCATACCTACTGTGAAGCATGGGGGTGGAAACATCATGCTTTGGGGCTATTTTTCTGCAAAGGGACCAGGACGACTGATCCGTGTAAAGGAAAGAATGAATGGGGCCATGTATCGTGAGATTTTGAGTGAAAACCTCCTTCCATCAGCAAGGGCATTGAAGATGAAACGTGGCTGGGTCTTTCAGCATGACAATGATCCCAAACACACCGCCCGGGCAACGAAGGAGTGGCTTCGTAAGAAGCATTTCAAGGTCCTGGAGTGGCCTAGCCAGTCTCCAGATCTCAACCCCATAGAAAATCTTTGGAGGGAGTTGAAAGTCTGTGTTGCCTAGCGACAGCCCCAAAACATCCCTGCTCTAGAGGAGATCTGCATGGAGGAATGGGCCAAAATACCAGCAACAGTGTGTGAAAACCTTGTGAAGACTTACAGAAAACGTTTGACCTGTGTCATTGCCAACAAAGGGTATATAACAAAGTATTGAGAAACTTTTGTTATTGACCAAATACTTATTTTCCACCATAATTTGCAAATACATTCATTAAAAATCTTACAATGTGATTTTCTTGATTTGTTTTTCTCATTTTGTCTGTCATAGTTGACGTGTACCTATGATGAAAATTACAGGCCTCTCTCATCTTTTTAAGTGGGAGAACTTGCACAATTGGTGGCTGACTAAATACTTTTTTTCTCCACTGTAACTCGCAATGTGGGTGCCTAACTGGTGCACTGACCATCGCTGTATCCCTTCCCACGACAAGTTACTGACAAGCAGACTGACTGGGTCTCATGTGTTACTTAACATAGCCTATAGGATCAACCCTTAATAGGGAAGTCTCAGAATACAGTTTGTCAATTTTCTGCCTGTTCTCTCTCTCCGGTTTGTATCTCACACTTTTGTCTGTGGTCAGTGTTCTCCACCCGTCCAGAGGATGGTGTTGGTGTACTGGGTGCTCCTCTCACACTGTACTGTGCAGTGTATGACTCCAGCAGCCAGGGGGAACTGTCTGTTATATGGGAGAGGGCCAGTGGAGAGCCAACAGCACTGAGTCCAGGGCCTGGCAGAGGGATCCACCAATCGGTCAACGGATCTCTGTTCTTCCCCCAGCTGAGAGAGGGGGACCTGGGGAGATATGTCTGTAGTGCAGGCATTGGAGCCAAACACATCATGACTGTTGTCCAAGTGATGGAAGCTGGTTAGTTGGCCTTCTCAGCTCTTCTATATGCCTCTGCTGAAATAATAAAATACATTAGCTTTAATACACATATCATCTGGCTTTTTTGTGAAATCTGTCTCGGAAATGAGAAAACCATAGATACATTTTATCCTTTGTTTGATACTCTGTGTGTTTGTGTGTAGACCTGGAGGGGGTCTTCTTCAGTCCTCAGTCTCAGACAGTCAGTGAGGGTCGGGCAGTGTTCCTCCAGTGTGTCTCAGGGGACAGCTCACCCCCTGCACACATCACCTGGCTCAAAGACAACACACTCTTTACCAAAGGCGCTCAGATTCAGGTATCAAATGCATTAGTCTGTGCATGTACTGTATGGATTTGATTGCATGTCTTTTTTGTGTCTTTGTGTATATACATTTGATTGTGTGTGGCTATGTACAGTGGGGAGAACAAGTATTTGATACACTGCCGATTTTGCAGGTTTTCCTACTTACAAAGCATGTAGAGGTCTGTAATTTTTATCATAGGTACACTTCAACTGTGAGAGACGGAATCTAAAACAAAAATCCAGAAAATCACATTGTATGATTTTTAAGTAATTGATTTGCATTTTATTGCATGACATAAGTATTTGATACATCAGAAAAGCAGAACTTAATATTTGGTACAGAAACCTTTGATTGCAATTACAGAGAGCATACGTTTCCTGTAGGTCTTGACCAGGTTTGCACACACTGCAGCAGGGATTTTGGCCCACTCCTCCATACAGACCTTCTCCAGATCCTTCAGGTTTCGGGGCTGTCGCTGGGCAATACAGACTTTCAGCTCCCTCCAAAGATTTTCTATTGGGTTCAGGTCTGGAGACTGGCTAGGCCACTCCAAGACCTTGAGATGATTCTTACGGAGCCACTCCTTAGTTGCCCTGGCTGTGTGTTTCGGGTCGTTGTCATGCTGGAAGACCCAGCCACGACGCATCTTCAATGCTCTTACTGAGGGAAGGAGGTTGTTGGCCAAGATCTCGGGATACATGGCCCCATCCATCCTCCCCTCAATACGGTGCAGTCGTCCTGTCCCCTTTGCAGAAAAGCATCCCCAAAGAATGATGCTTCACGGTTGGGATGGTGTTCTTGGGGTTGTACTCATCCTTCTTCTTCCTCCAAACACGGTGAGTGGGGTTTAGACCAAAAAGCTCTATTTTTGTCTTATCTGACCACATGACCTTCTCCCATTCCTCCTCTGGATCATCCAGATGGTCATTGGCAAACTTCAGACGGGCCTGGACATGCGCTGCCTTGAGCAGGGGGACCTTGCGTGCGCTGCAGGATTTTAATCCATGACGGCGTAGTGTGTTACTAATGGTTTTCTTTGAGACTGTGGTCCCAGCTCTCTTCAGGTCATTGACCAGGTCCTGCCGTGTAGTTCTGGGCTGATCCCTCACCTTCCTCATGATCATTGATGCCCCACGAGGTGAGATCTTGCATGGAGCCCCAGACCGAGGGTGATTGACCGTCATCTTGAACTTCTTCCATTTTCTAATAATTGCGCCAACAGTTGTTGCCTTCTCACCAAGCTGCTTGCCTATTGTCCTGTAGCCCATCCCATCCCTGATGTCCTTACACAGCTCTCTGGTCTTGGCCATTGTGGAGAGGTTGGAGTCTGTTTGATTGAGTGTGTGGACAGGTGTCTTTTATACAAGTAACGAGTTCAAACAGGTGCAGTTAATACAGGTAATGAGTGGAGAACAGGAGGGCTTCTTAATGAAAAACTAACAGGTCTGTGAGAGCTGGAATTCTTACTGGTTGGTAGGTGATCAAATACTTATGTCATGCAATAAAATGCAAATTAATTACTTAAAAATCATACAATGTGATTTTCAGGATTTTTGTTTTAGATTCCGTCTCTCACAGTTGAAGTGTACCTATGATAAAAATTACAGACCTCTATATGCTTTGTTAGTAGGAAAACCTGCAAAATCGGCAGTGTATCAAATACTTGTTCTCCCCACTGTAAGTCTATATACAAACTGTGTTTCTCCAGGGTCAATATGGAGGGGGTAACCAAAGGAAGACCTCAGGCACTCTTCACCTCTCTAACATCTCAATAGAGGACGACGGGGAATACGTCTGTGTCACACACAACCCCTTACTGAACACCAGCCGGGAAAGCAAGGCAGCTACACTCACAGTACAAGGTGACACCATGCACAGCCTCTCCCCTACTCCATATCCCTTCTGTCTGCCCTGTCCTTTCCTCTTAGAACAGCATGGATGATGGAACTAGTGTTGGTGTCAGTCTGTTTCTGTTTTTGCCAACTCCTGTATCAATGCAGTGGTGAAAACAGTACCCAATTGTCAAACTATGAAGGTAAAGATACCCTAACAGAAAATGACTCAAGTAAAAGTGAAAGTCACCCAGTAAAATACTACTTGAGTAAAAGTCTAAAAGTATTTGATTTTAAATATACCTAAGTATTAAAAGTACATCTAATTGCTAAAATATACTTAATTATCAAAAGTAAAAGTATAAATAATTTATAATTCCTTATATTAAGCAAACCAGATGGCACCATTTTCTTGTTTTTATTTATTTATGGATAGCCAGGGGCACACTCCAACACTCTGACATAATTTACAAACAAAGCATGTGTGTTTAGTGAGTCAGCCAGAGCGGAGGCAGTAGGGATGCCGAGCGATATTCTCTTGATAAGTGTGTGAATTGGACCATTTTCCTGTCCTGCTAAGCATTCAAAATGTAATGAGTAATTTTGGGTGTCAGGGAAAATGTATGGAGTAAAAAGTACATTATTTTCTTTAGGAATGTAGTGAAAGTTGTCAAAAATATAAATAATAATTTTACAGTGCCTTGCAAAAGTATTAATCTCCCTTGGAGTTTTTCCTATTTTGTTGCATTACAACCTGTAAATTGAATGGATTTTTATTTGGATTTCATGTAATAGACATACACAAAATAGTCCAAATTGGTGAAGTGAAATGAAAAAAATAACTTCTTTCAAAAATGTCTAAAACATTAATAACGGAAAAGTGGTGCGTGCAAGTCGGAAGTTTACATACACCTTAGCAAAATACATTTAAACTCTGTTTTTCACAATTTCTGACATTTAATCCTAGTAAAAATTCCCAGTCTTAGGTCAGTTAGGATCACCACTTTATTTTAAGAATGTGAAATGTCAGAATAATTGTAGAGAGAATGATTTATTTCAGATTTGATTTCTTTCATCACATTCCCAGTGGGTCAGAAGTTTACATACACTCAATTAGTATTTGGTAGCATTGCCATTAAATTGTTTAACTTGGGTCAAACGTTTCGAGAAGCCTTCCACAAGCTTCCCAGAATAAGTTGGGTGAATTATGGCCCATTCCTCCTGACAGAGCTGGTGTAACTGAGTCAGGTTTGTAGGGCTCCTTGCTCGCACACGCTTTTTCAGTTCTGCCCACACATTTTCTATACGATTGAGGTCAGGGCTTTGTGATGGCCACTCCGATACCTTGACTTTGTTGTCCTTAAGCCATTTTGGCACAACTTTGGAAGTATGCTTGGGGTCATTGTCCATTTGGAAGACCCATTTGCGACCAAGCTTTAACTTCCTGACTGATGTCTTGAGATGTTGCTTCAATATATCCACATAATTTTCCTTCCTCATGATGCCATCTATTTTGTGAAGTGCACCAGTCCCTCCTGCAGCAAAGCACCCCCACAGCATGATACTGCCACCCCCGTGCTTCACGGTTGGGATGGTGTTCTTCGGCTTGCAAGCGCCCCCGTTTTTCCTCCAAACATAACGATGGTCATGATGGCCAAACATTTCTCCAAAAAGTACCATCTTTGTCCCCATGTGCAGTTGCAAACTGTAGTCTGGCTTTCTTATGGCGGTTTTGGAGCAGTGGCTTCTTCCTTGCTGAGCGGCCTTTCATGTTATGTCGATATAGGACTCATTTTACTGTGGATATAGATACTTTTGTACCTGTTTCCTCCAGGTACAAAAGTATCTATATCCACAGGTCCTTTACTGTTGTTCTGGGATTGATTTGCACTTTTCGCACCAAAGTACGTTCATCTCTAGGAGACAGAATGCGTCTCCTTCCTGAGCGGTATGACGGCTGCGTGGTCCAATGGTGTTTATACTTGCGTACTATTGTTTGTACAGATGAACGCAGTACCTTCAGGTGTTTGGAAATTGCTCCCAAGGATGAACCAGACTTGTGGAGGTCTACAAATTTTTTTCTGAGGTCTTGGCTGATTTCTTTTGATTTTCCCATGATGTCAAGCAAAGAGGCACTGAGTTTGAAGGTAGGCCTTGAAATACATCCACAGGTACACCTCCAATTGACTCAAATGATGTCAATTAGCCTATCAGAAGCTTCTAAAGCCATGACATCATTTTCTGGAATTTTCCAAGCTGTTTAAAGGCACAGTCAACTTAGTGTATGTAAACTTCTGACCCACTGGAATTGTGATACAGTGAATTATAAGTGAATTAATCTGCCTGTAAACAATTGTTGGAAAAATTACTTGTGTCATGCATAAAGTAGATGTCCTAACCGACTTGCCAAAACTATAGTTTGTTAACAAGAAATTTGTGGAGTGGTTGAAAAACGAGTTTTAATGACTCCAACCTAAGTGTATGTAAACTTCCGACTTCAACTGTATGTATTCACCCCCTTTGCTATGAAGCCCCTAAATAAGATCTGGTGCAACCAATTACCTTCAGAAGTCACATAATTAGTTAAATAAAGTCCACCTGTGTGCAATCTAAGTGTCACATGATCTGTCACATGATCTCAGTGTATATATACACCTGTTCTGATAGGCCCCAGAGTCTGCAACACCACTAAGTAAGGGGCACCACCAAGCAAGCGGCACCATGAAGACCAAGGCGCTCTCCAAACAGGTCAGGGACAAAGTTGTGGAGAAGTACAGATCAGGGTTGGGTTATTAAAAAATATCCACAACTTTGAACATCCCACGGAGCACCATTAAATCCATTATTAAAAATGGAAAGAATATGGCACCACAACAAACCTGCCAAGAGAGGGCCGCCCACCTAAACTCACAGACCAGGCAAGGAGGGCATTAATCAGAGAGGCAACAAAGAGACCAAAGATAACCCTGAAGGAGCTGCAAAGCTCCACAGCGGAGATTGGAGTATCTGTCCATAGGACCACTTTAAGCCGTACACTCCATACGGAAGAGTGGCCAGAAAAAAAGCCATTGCTTAAAGAAAGAAATAAGCAAACACGTTTGGTGTTCGCCAAAAGCCATGTGGGAGACTCCCCAAACATATGGAAGAAGGTACTCTGGTCAGATGAGACTATCATTTTTTTCATCAAGGAAAACGCTATGTCTGGCGCAAACCCAACATCTCTCATCACCCAGAGAACACCATCCCAACAGTGAAGCATGGTGGTGGCAGCATCATGCTGTGGGGATGTTTTTCATTGGCAGGGACTGGGAAACTGGTCAGAATTGAAGGAATGATGGATGGCGCTAAATACAGGGAAATTCTTGAGGGAATCCTGTTTCAGTCTTCCAGAGATTTGAGACTGGGACAGAGGTTCACCTTCCAGCAGGACAATGACCCTAAGCATACTGCTAAAGCAACACTCAAGTGGTTTAAGGGGAAACATTTAAATGTCTTGGAATGGCCTAGTCAAAGCCCAGACCTCAATTCAATTGAGAATCTGTGTGACTTAAAGATTGTGTACACAGCCAACCCTTGTTTGTTGAAGATGGCAAAATCTAGTGGCAGTGCCAAGCTTAAGAGACATAAGAGATTACAGCTTAATTGCAAAGGTCTGGCTCTACAAAGTTGCTTGGGGCGTGAATAGTTATGCACACTTGTTTTCTGTTTTTTTGTCTTATTTCTGGTTTGTTTCACCAAAAATATTTTGCATCTTCAAGTGGAGATTGTTGTGTAAATCAAATGGTGATACAAACCCCAACAATCTATTTTAATTCCAGGTTGTAAGGCAACAAAATAGGAAAAATGCCAAGGAAGGTGAATACTTTCACAAGCCACTGTAGGAAAGAAAGCCACTGTATAGTATTGAGGCACCCCCCCATGTTTTTCTGTTACTCTGCAGGAGTCCCTAAAAGGCTGCAGATCACTCAGGGCCCTGACAACATCACAGTTGCCATAGAGACGGAGGCTTCCATGCACTGTGCTGTCCAAGGCTTCCCAGCTCCCACAGTGCAATGGTTCAAAGACAGCCATCTCCTTGTGAACAACTCTGGCTTGAGTCTGCAGAACAAGGGGCAGCTGCTTGTTTTCAAGTGAAATCTTGAGGATATTATGACATTATAAAAGTTGTTTATCTTTAAATCAAATGTAAAAAGCAAGCAGAGATAACAAAAGTGATATTAATGTGTGTGCTGTGCCCTTCATCCCCAGGAACGTGTCTGAGGATGATGAGGGTTCCTACCACTGTGAGGCCAGGAACAAGAGGGAGACAGTCAGGTCTCAGACTGCCTTTCTCCTTCCAGCAGGTACTGTATACCATGCTCTGGTTGTTATCAATCAAACCCAAATATCATAACTATACTAGCACCTTTACTGACATACAGTCCCTCCCTCCCTCTCCACAGTGATGGGGTGGACCTTTGTCCAGCAGCCTACCAACCAGGCTGTGAGGATGGGGGAGTCTGTTACTCTGATCTGCAGACCCCCGTACAGCAGGCCTCCAACAACAGTGTCCTGGTTCAAAAACAACCGCCTCCTCACTCCCAAGACACACTTCACTGTCAAGCCTAGTGGAGACCTCATCTTCCACAGGTGTGTGTGTGTGTGTGTGTGTGTGTGTGTGTGTGTGTGTGTGTGTGTGTGTGTGTGTGTGTGTGCACGCGCGCATGCATGTGTATGTACAGTATGTGTGTGTATGACTAGATTATTGTTCTGTATGATGGTAGTCCTCCAGTCATACTGTACAAGCCAGTGTCAAGCTGTATTTAACTGCTTGTTTCTCCAGTGTCTATGACACAGACAGTGGAGTCTACTTTTGTAGAGCATCCAACGTCCACCTGTACAGATCTGTGACCTCCAGAACAGCCAGACTGACCATTATGGGTAGGTACTGTATGACATCACACAGTATGTAGGCTTATTATTGTCTAGCCATGTGTCGGTATATGAGATATTCAGGATGATACTTGATACAGCATGTTTATATTCATACAAATACACTCACAATCATAATCAAAGACACAGTTAAATGTCTGAGATATACTTCCTTAGGTACAGAAGTAACAAGCTCACCAGCCTACTCTTCCTCCTCCCCCTGACCACCTTCCTGCCCTGCCAGCATCTCCCTCTGTGAGGCTGTGGCCCCCAGTGGTGACGGTCCCTGTAGGGGCCCAGGTGGTGTTCCAGTGCCAGGTCTGGGGACAGCCCCTCCCCTCCATCGTCTGGTCAAAACAGGGACGCTCCATGCAGACTGGTGGCAAGATCACTGTGGGGTACGTTCAGTGTATTTGAGGTGGTTGAGTGGGCGAACACAGTCTTGTGTTACTGATCACTAGAGGAAGTATTTGGCGTCACCAACCAATCTATCAGGAACCTTTAGCTTGGAGATCACTAACCTTCTTGTGGTAATGAATACCAGCTTCTCTGTTCTCAGCGTGAGAAACACTACCCTCTACATCCTGTCTGTCAGGAGCTATGATGAGGGCACTTACACCTGTGAAGCCTCCAACACTGTGGGGCATGACCGGAGAACAGCTACTTTACGTGTCGCTGGTAACTTACCTCACCCAGTACAGTACACACATTCTGTTTGATGTTATACTATAGAACTGTGTGTATAATGCATGTCTGGATGCCTTAATAGAGCTGAGTACTGTTGATCATGCTACATATCTTGGCCTATGTCCTATGTATGGACAACAAAGTTAACTTCATCACATTAGCTGGAAGTGAAGCTCAGGCGTGTGATTAAGGTGCTTACTACCTGAATGTATTGAGACAATGATATGATCATCTGATGTGGTGCTCTCTCGCTCTCCCTCTCTCTCTGGCTCAGTAAGCCCCATCATAGTGTCCTTCGTGGGGGCAGTGAGCAGCTCAGAGGGGTCCTCTGTGGTCCTGCCGTGCAGGGCAGTGGGGGACCTCCCCATCAGGTACACCTGGACCAGAGGACACTCCATCACCCCAACCCTGGAGAGGCATGTAGATGGTGAGCCAGTCACATAAAAAAAATAAAACGTATACCTGCCAAGAAAGAAACCCTACCACATTCCCTTATAATGGCATAGTCCCTTCTACTTTAGTGTTTGCAGATCTGAAGAGATGAGATTGGTGTAAGGTTGGTGGTAAGGAGCGGTTTGGTGAATGTGTGACTGTGCCTTCATGTGTGTGCAGATGAGGGGGCTCTGCATATCTCCAGTGTTCAGGTGTCTGATGCAGGGGACTACCACTGTACCGCTGAGAACAGAGTGGGACGACAGCAGAGAAGAGCCACCCTCACCATCTCTGGTTTAACCATGGCTTTATGATATACAGTAGAATACAAGCACGCACACCAGAACTGGGCATAAAATAGTTGTATTTTGTAGTTTATTTGAAAATACCAACTTTTCAAATACTCGAGGTAGTCGAATATAGTTTATATAGAGCTTCAACTAAAAGGCAACTACTGTATTTTCTTTGATATTTTGAATACCTCTCAAAAACCTTATAATATTTGAAAGTATTTTGAATACCTCTCAGAAAACCAAATCATATTTGAAAGTATTTTGAATACCTCTCAGAAAACCAACTCATATTTGAAAGTATTTTGAATACCTCTCAGAAAACCAAATCATATTTAAAGGTATTTGAATGTATATGCAAGTTATTACAAAAATAATAATATTATTTGATGGCTGCCAACTATTTGATGAAGAACCAAAAACTACAACAGTTAGTTGAATTAGTCTAAATATATGATCATTAGCACATGGTTAAACTTAATATAGCCTATAGCCTAGAATGAAATACATAGGGACATGGAATCTCCTCAACATTAAAGTAGACCACTTTTGCTGCTTCAAAATGACTAACAAATATATTTTCATAATGAGTGAGACACAAGGTAATACACTTGACATCAAGTTCTTATGCATGTGTGGTAACTTTGATTATTACAATATGCAATAACCAAAGTATTATGGAACAACATACTAATAAAATGTGGCTCCAAAAGTAATTACAGTTTTATTACACGGGCACAATACCAATTTAATGTTAAGTGTTATTGAGAATGATAACAGTAACAAAATATGTCTATTAAGTGTTGAAAGGAAAATAAATATATAAAAAACGACCTTCTTGAATAAACTACAGCCAAGGTAGGTGGAAAATCATGTTAGTTTATATTCAGAGTAACTATCCCTTTACAGATGTTATAGTGTGTTTGAAACAAGAACACTTTCCTTCAGATGGACAAAGAGGTTCAAAGTTTGTTTTGCTAAGCATCCAACTTGCTGTTTGCAATGTTTGCAAATGGCTTTGAATTTCTCTTCAGTATTTTCAGGTATCATAAAATTAAGGCCTGCTACAGATAAAAAGCTTTCGCCCTGCCCTGCCCCGCCCCCGCCCGCCCCTCTTGAAACCTATTTCTCAAAGCTAACCCTTCGATCACACCTACAGCGTCATTGCATTTTTGTACACCAGAAGTACATTCATTTCCAATGGAATTCTGCGTTTGCCTTGCAGCATTGCGTTGCAGAGGCAGTTGCAGTGCATTCTGTGTGGCGCATACATTGGATTTATCGAACGTATGCGTCAAACTGTATGCGTAGACAGCTTGACAGAAATAGTAGCAGAAGGTGAATGTTGAACTTTTGTTGCACACATATCCAGATGATGCTGCATAACATATCATCGTAACATTTTGTGCACTAAAGCTGTCAGTGTGATCAAGGGTTAAGGATCTGGATCACATTCTGCCATACCACACCTTTGTTTCTCTCACACCAATAGTGTTGTTGCGCAAAATAGTACGCAGCATCAACTGGATATGTGTGCAACAAAAGTTCAACATTCACCTTCTGCTACCATTTCTGTCAAGCGGTCTACACATACAGTTTGACGCATATGTTAGATAAATCCAAGGTATGCACCACACAGAACGCACTTCAACTGCCTCTGCAGGGCAATGCTGCAAGACAAACGCAGCGTTCCATTGGAAATGAATGTACTTCTGGTGTACCAAAATGCAAACGCACTGTCGGTGTGATCTAGGCGTAACGTAGCTGCTGCTCCCCCTCCCCCTCCCTTCACATTTCAGTCTTTATAATCACCCTCTTCTGAACCGTGATGCTCTTCTGAACCGTGATGATGTAGCCTGTCTCTGCCAGATATTTCTGAACAGCTGAAATAAAAACCCTGCAGCGATTAAACGAACATTCCTAAACACATATATTATGAAGGCTAAAACCTTCTGTTTGTATGTTGTAACAGATATTGCAGTTGCACAAGCAGGACGCAGTCCCTACCCTTTGGAGCAAAAACAATCAGCGTTGCTGCCCTATCAGTTCCTGAAAAAAGAACACTACTTGACTGCCTGTCTATCTCCTGCCTGGTTTACCCAATGTTTGCAAAAAAAAACATTACATCTCTATTTAGACTGTGTGTCTGGGGCTTGCTGGGTTCCACCACTGGACAGTCGAACGTTATAGGCAGCCAAGCGTTTAACGTTATCCGGACCAATAAAAATACATGTCGATAATGTATTTTGTGTAAAACATGTAAATACCTGCATGTAGCCTACTCCCCACCTGAAAAAAAGAACATGAAATCGCGCTTATGCTTACTGAGGCATGGAATGCAATAGTTCGAATAGTTATGTGTACGACATGAAGTTTGTAGGAAATCGCGCTTATGCTAAATAGCCTACTGAGGGAATGCAATAGTTCGAAGAGTTTTGTGTGCAACATGAAGTGTGTAGGCTACACCAGTGACCAGACAAAGGCGATCAAGGAGGGGGAGCGGCAGCGGAGCATTCAGCACATCAGCTACATAGGCAGCAGAGTGCGCACTCAGCTATGTAAAGAAATATCCTGCACATGCTCAGAAATATATGTTTTTTTAGCCTGGGCAAATTGGGATACAGAAACTCAGTAAAATGTATTGCAGCTTTCGACCTTTTCTGTGGCATATTGAAAATGTCATAGCAAAGTTGAGCCTCACAACTTATCTATAATTATCTGTACAAAATATAATTGGTTAATTGGTTTGACCTGACTATGTTCACCTGCAGCAATTGACATTTGGGAGAATGGATATTTACAGAATGTTTAGATGGACATTTATTGTGTAGATCAAATATGATTGTCAGATGGATTGGAATTGTATAGGCGATTGTTTGTGCTCTATTTATTTTATTTATATCTTCAACATGCAGTTACAGATGCAGCCCTGCCATTAGTTGAAGGCAGCCAATCCAATAGTTTCTGAAAAGTAGTCACTTCCTAAGATCTGTATTCAAATATATATTTTTAAGTACTTGCTTTCTCAGATCTGTATTCAAATAGTTTTGAAAAAGTAGTCACTTTCTGAGATCTGTATTCAAATAGTTTTAAAAAGTAGTCATTTTTGGAGATCTGTTTCAAATAGTTGTAGTCACCTCCAAAGTAACTATTTGTTCCTCCCAAAGCATAGTGAAACTATAGTTTTCCCAGGTCTGACACACATGCATGCACACATACACAAACACATGCAGATACAGATGTAGGATCTTACTTTTAATGCAATGCAGGACATTTTAAACTTGTAGTGTAATTTAGGTTTAAAAAGGCTTCTGAAGTTTGTAATTTCCACTTTGAAATGTCAGACTTGATTTTTCCTTGAGAAAAATGTATCAACCCCTACAAAAATGTCCATTAATTATATTCCACATAATAATTCAAATTACCTGTTGCTGTACGCTTATTTTCCTGCTGTAGCAAACTAGCTCAAATTAAGATCCCACATCTGTAGACACACGCACGTGCACGCGCACTCACACACACACAGTCAACCTTTCTATGCTCATCATTATCTTCTCTATCTAAAGCTGAAGATGACCCAGCTGATAGAGACAAGCGGCATAGACAGATTGTGTCTGCAGTGAGTAATAATGAGGTTGATGTGAAAGTCTCTATCGCTTGTCTGTTGAAATGTTTCCCATCATCAGTAGTAGACATGTCTAACATCATGAGTCACGTCTTTGTTCCTCTCTTCAGTTGTGTGCTTATTTTAAATGGCTTTCAGTGGCTCAGTGTGTTATGCGTTTTAACAATGCCAAATTTCATGAATCTGACAAACATCTTTTCACAAATTGCAGGTTCCAAACACTGAAGCAGAGCAGAGAACTCCCCGTTCCAGTAATGACCTGAGTCTAGTTCAGCGTTCTGAGACGACCCAGTCACATGTCTCCTTACAGGGAGGAAGCACAGGTGTGTACAGACAAAAACATAAACTATAGTATGCAGTGCAGGCAAATCCTTGTACTAACTACCCTTTGCTGTATTTACTAGGCAAAACAATATTTTAATGTGCATTCTTTAGATTTTGAATCACACTCTTTGAAATCAAACTTTATACAGTCAACTATTGAGCCTAGAAACCCACAGAAAGCAGTGGTTTTCTTTGTGTTTTACTAGCATGCATTGTTTTGTTTGATACCATTATTTTCATTATTTTCTATTTGCAGTCCGAGCATCTCAAAGAGACTCAAGCAATGACATCACCCACGTGTCTACTCCTGAAACTCTACGATTGCTCTCGTCTCTCAGCCAGACAGCTTTAGGACTAGCAGGTCTCTTCAGAGGACAAACAGGACTGCTGGTGCCACCTGACCTTCACTCTCTGCTCCCATTGGACCAGGCCTCAGCCAGTCCAACCCAGCCCACAGTCACACAGATCCAGCCTCCAGTGCTACAACCCCCACCTCCACCTCTATTTGGACCCTTAGACCTACTCACCCAGCCTTCAGTAACTCATAGAGTCCTGTCACTCTCACTCACTCAGATTCAAATAATACATAACCAGCCAGCATTAACACACAACCCACCCCCAGTGACACAACGCCATGTTTTAGTCCCACATAGCCAATCTCCATTAACACAGTCCGTATCCCAAAGCCTCCACAACCAGCCATCAGTCATGCATATCCAGCATCAAGTCACCGAGCAACCAATTAAACCCCTAAACCCCATCGCCAGTCTTACCCAGTCTCTGGTCTCACTCCCGCAGCCTTCTCCAGACTCTCCCAGCCACCCTTCTGATCCCTCTACCCAGCATCCTGATTCTCTTACCCAGCCCAGAGAACCTTTGACTCAGTCTCTACTCATACAAACCCTGCATGCTCCTGACTCAATCACTCAAACCCACCGTCCTGTAACTCAAAGTAATCCTTCGGACCCACATTTCCAGGATCCTAGCACCATCACCCTGTTTTCACTCTCACAAACCCAGACTCAACCATCACCAACCCAGCCTCAACCATCCAAAACTCAGTCTCAACCATCACCAACCCAGCCTGAACCTACACAAACCCAGCGTACAGATCTCCTCACCCAGCCTTCAGGCTCAAACACCCATCCTCCTGACCTGATCACCATACCCCCCACCCCTGACCCCCAGGGCCCTAGTGCCCCCCGGACCTCCACCCCAGACCCCCTGCAGCAGAACGCGAGCCAGCCTGCTAACCCAGCTCATCCAGCCAAACCAACCAGGCCCAATGACACAGAGCCCACAGAGTGGCTGAAGAGTAACACCTCTCAGTCCCCCATGAAGACCAACGAGGACCCCAGGTAGGGCACCATGCAGTACAGAGGCGGGAGACGGAGGGGACTTTTATTCCTCCCAGTCTTGTCTACTTACATCCGGGTTCCCCAACTGGCGGCCCGCCGCGGGTGATTTTATTTGGCCCCCCATGTCTTCTGAGCAAAAACAACACATTTTATTTTTTATTGTTGCATGTAAAAGACTGTAAAAACACCAGCAAATCAGCAGTGATTTTAATTTGGGACGTTTTTTCCAAAGTATTTCCATGCATAATAGAGAGATATATGTGACCGTTTACAAAAATAAGCATGGTCCCTGGCTTACATCATACAGTAGATAGTTTCCACTGTCTCTGCTTACAGTGTACATACATTTATTTGAGAAAAGCAAAATATAATACTCTATGTTTTAATTGATTGTGTGCTATGTGGACATTGGTGAATAGGAGGAATGCAACAATAAGGCTTAATCAATGCAATAACTTTCAAGACCTGAATTTCTTAAAATAGATAATGATCTGCAAATGTTGTCCGGATTTGGTTTGGTGAAGATTGTAGATACTGGTATGCAGCTTGTATCTATCTGTGGCTGACAGGCTTAAACTCCAGATGAAACTCCACCACAGCTGCTATCACTTTATCTTGCTTACATAGTTGTACAAGTTACGACATGCACGTGGGCGTATTATTCTGTTGACTGTAATAACCTAACTTTGTACATGATGAGACCATGACTTGGATTTATTCCAAATGATTTTGATTGGATAATGTTGCAAGAGCAATGTACATCACAACCGAACCTCCTAATATCCAAAGTCTGTCTTTTACATACTGTATTTGGATCTTTAGACAATTATAATCACCATTAACAATGAGAATAATTGAACAATCTCTCTCTCTCTGTCTCATTCCCTCTCTCTCCTCCCCCAGAATAAAGCCTCCTCCTCCGTGGCTCCCAGTGCTGGAGAAACATGACATCCCCATCGTGGTGGGAGTGGGCGTGTCTCTGGCCTTCATCTTCATCACCATGGCCTTCTACTCCCTGGTCCAGAAGAACGAGCCTCTCCCCGCTATTAGAGGTCAGTGGGCCTGTATAGCTCAAACTGTACTGTAACTCCCTCCTATTGTCCACCCTTTGGCACACTGTGCTCATTGTTCAATATACTCTGAGGCAGGACACTCTCATAACAAACCCGGGCACCCCCTATTAATGTGGGCACCCCTACAATCATAAAAAATATAAAAATTGTTTTGCTCATTCCCAAGATTCTGTATGTGATTTGAACCCTGCATGGAGTTAGAAGTGGAAATATTAATTTATTTTATTGAATCCCATTAGCCTTGTCTTCCACAGTTCCCAGGAACCTGGGCGTCCCCTGCAGACATGCTGAACGTCTGGACACTGGGAGGACCTATGAGAACAGGTGACTGTTGTCAGCACTATTGTTGTTGTTGTGGAGGATACCTCTATGAAAATAGGACTGTACTTATCCTAATGGCTAATATACAGTATATGTATCCTCTGTTCTGAAAGGGCGTTTGAGGATGATGATTTGGTGGCTGTGATTGAACAAAGCCCCAACACGTCAGATACACGCGCCAGGCCTCCTGCCCCCAGCCCAGTCACTGTGATGATAGACCCTGCCTCTGATGAGACTCAGGAGACACAGCCCCTGCACACTCCAGAACACTCGGTCATAGCAGAGACCTACCCTGAGCCTAGCGAAGACACACAGGTCAGTGTGTGTGTGTTCGCATGCATGAATATGTAAAATCGGGTCCAATATAACATTTCCCACACATTACCATACCAAGATATTACAAATTCGGTTGCAGCAGCTGTCTGGATCCTCTCCACCTCAGGTTGATCCCTTCCTGGATGAAGAGAAGGAATGCAGCCTGTCTCACCCCAGCATCCAGCTGCAGTGTGTGGAGGACTGGGGGGGCGGAGGAGTAGAATACGGACAATGCCAGGACCAAGAAATCCTCCCCCAGCCCCCCTCTCTCTCTCCTTCCCCTCCTCCTGTGCGTGAGGAAAGCCTGCGCTCCTCCCTGACCCTCCAGACCGCTGAGCCCTATGCCACGCCCGTCCGCCATAGCGTCAGCATCTCCCACGGTAACGCCCCCCTCCTCCTCTCCCACTGCATCTCCCTGGGCCTTACCACGGTCGCCGTTGATGTCCACTTCTACCCAGCAGCCCCTGCTTCCACCACCACCACGACTGTGGCAGCTGCCACCCAGATTAATGCTACCACCGCTGCTGCTGCTCCAGGGCCCCAGCTCAGCTCCCGATTGGCCCACAGTCAGGAGCATGACCAATCGGCTCCCAGCGTGCACCAGAGTAAGTAACTAGATAGAGGGAAATACAGATGGAGAGATTGTTCCAACACAGATGTTGCCATTAGTCTCCACTTTGGAGAGTTTGGCTGGATTGTTGGTCGTCTTCACGTTTCGACTGACTTGTTCTGATGGTGGTGAGGAGAATGTGTGTGTATAAGAAAGAGTGATCCATCTGGTTTCTGGAACCATCCACTGAAGAATATAGGAGAACAGCCTTTACTCTGATGCCTTTCATAAAACCTAAATGCGCTACACATACTGTACCACAGTCAGCTACAAATGTGTCAATAACATACAGTAATGTCAATGTATTCTGTTTCTGCTAAGAAAAATCATGAGATTATAATTATTTATTCATATTTATTATTTCTGCTCAGTTTTCTATTTTCTTACTATTTCTAAGTCTTTGAATAGGGAAACAATGTCTTATTATGGCTTCAATGTGTATTACAAATGTCAGTTACATAATGATGCTTTAGGCCTAAAATAATGCATTTATAGGAAGCAAAAACGAAAATATGTAATATAGGCAAAAAAGTATAAACTGCTTCCAAAATCTTCTACATACCATGGTTTCTGACTTTACTGAATATATATATATATAGTGTTGTGTACATGTCCATGATATTTATATACTTTATAAACTAGTTTGATTGTGGCAAATACATTGTTATCAGTTGTATATTCTACAATAAAAAAAAGCCAAGGAGAAAACAGCGGTGTACAAAATATTGCAATCTTTGTTGCTGTACACTTCCTATTCAGGTAACCCTCTCTCTCTCTGTTGGACCATAAACAGACTGTTACTTCTGTGCTGAAACCAAAGGAAGATGTTATGACGACAGGGCTTAACTAAGTCCCAACTGAGACCCAGTGGACCCAAAATTGAGATGATCAGTGATATTGTGTTTTCATTTAGTTTACTTTATGTTCAGTAAAATGTCTCAATGTCATGAATTTCATTTTCTACTGCCATGAATTCGTCCCTCAGACATTATCGTGTAACAATTTAGAATTCAGTTTTTCCAGTATTTATCATTGTATTTGTTTCAACAACATGTACAGTATAATTTGTTGTTAACAATTACAATGTCAACAAAAGTGATTTTGTAATCTTACATATTTATTTTGGTGTATAAAAATGTAAATCTTTAGTGATCTTGTTGCCTTTGTATGGGTGATAAAATGGCAACTAAAAAGATGAAAGGTATTTGACACAGATCTAACATTCACATACTGTGAAGTAAAAAAAAAAAAAAACAGTACTGTATCAAATTGATTTTTATTTACTCAACAATGGCCAACAAGAGGTGAAAATAATACTGCTGTACTTCGTTTGACAATATTCTATTTTACAGTTTCCACAATGTGATTTTCGTTTGGCAGCTCTTTGCAAAAATACTGTTAAATCAATGATGATAGCTAGATCATTATGGATGTACTGTAATGTAGACCTAAATCAATATCAAATAAACCTTATTACAGACTATTCCACTGTCTATGACTATTTTATGAGTTGGCCCTTGTTTTTATCCAGGCTTCTTTTCATGTTCACAAAGTACAACGTACATAGGACATAGGCAACATAAATGCAGTCCTTGCATTGTAAACATAATATACAGTACAGGCAAAGGTGGGCAAGGGCACTACAATAATACCATACAAAAACACTAACGTAACCATGGATAACAGTAAACTCACTATAGCTTACAGTTCAGTGGACGGTTTCCTTGGAGGCGGCTCCTGCCCGGCTAGAGGCACATTGAAGGATACGTATGGACACCATTTACTGTTCAGACACACCAGTCTCTCCAGCGAGGCTGAGTTGACTATATCAAAGCCAGTCTGGCCTCCGAACGTGCTGGGCTTCCAGTACTCAGGGGAACAGATGGGGTTACCCAGAAGGCCTTTCAGGGAGAACGGAGCCCCCATCTCCACCATACTCTCGCCAAATATGGCGTTGGGCCGTGTCTTCTCCAGCATGAGGGCGGGGTAGAACTCCAGCGCATCGATGTCACCATAGAGCTCCTCCAGCTCCCTGGCTATCTCCTCCTCACCTAAGGACAATAGAATAGAATAGATCTTGATTGTCCCAGAAGAGCAATTCGGATGCAGCACAATTACAACGATAGGGCACATTTAAAGCAAATGAATACAACATTTACATTTTACATTTTGGTTATTTGGCAGATGCTCTTATCCAGAGTGACTTACAGTTAGTGCATTTATCTTAAGATAGCTATAGAGCATTCGGAAATTACTTTTCCAACATTTTGTTACGTTACAGCCTTATTCTAAAATGGATTAAATCGTTTTTTTCCCCTCATCAATCTACACACAATGCCCCATAATGACAAAGCAAAACAGGTTTTTATATATTTTAGCAAATTTATAAAAAATAAAAACAGAAATATCACTGTAAAAGGGAAGGGGTCTGAATACTTTCCGAATGCACTGTAAGGTACTACTAAGCTATATGGAATTGTTTTAAGAAGGTCATACAAAGGATCATTTTGCTATTTGATTTAGAATTTCAAAATCCCTTGAAGTATTAAAAAATATATATAAAAACTGTACTGAAAATTTTTATTTGGCTTTACTGCTATTCGCCCATACAAACGCATTGAATAACAGATTCACTACATGGAACAACAGATAGTCCCCCCAAAAAATCTAAAAGAAGATTGTTCTGAAGTGTCTATCACATATATGAGAGATATAAGAAAGATCAGTATATAAGAAAGACGTATTTAACCCCTTATTTTTGTCACTAAACAGTCTCCATATATACTGTACTTCCATACCTTTTTCGACTGGTACCGGGGGACCTGCAGATGAGTTTTGTGAGGCCTGTGGGCATCCTAGAGCAAAACAACCGACATGTACGTGTTCGTGAGAGTGTGTAGCCCAAATTGATCAGACGCTACAGACCGAAGTTGGCAGATCGGCTGGACCGACTTCAGACAAGTTTATATTTGCATGAGCATATAGAAATATGTGGTCTTGGCAGTGAAGTCTGAAAATATGTGGTTTTACCAGTAAAGTTTGAGAAAGATGTGGTCTTATTTAAAAAAGGAAAGGGTGATGGTGTAAAGGACGTAACACTGCCTGCTTAGCTAGTACCACTTCCTCCTGATTCGGCTCATACCAAGGCTCGAAACCAGGACCTCTGCCTTGCAAACAAACGTGACCGCCCCTGAAGTGTCTCTGCTCTTGTCCTTCTAGACCTGTCTGCTGCCTTTGATACTGTGAACCATCAGATCCTTCTCTCCACCCTCTCCGAGCTGGGCATCTCCGGCGCGGCTCACTCCTGGATTGCGTGCTACCTGACCGGTCGCTCCTACCAAGTGGCGTGGCGAGAAGCTGTCTCCGCACCACGTGCTCTCACCACTGGTGTCCCCCAGGGCTCAGTTCTAGGCCCTCTCCTATTCTCCCTATACACCAAGTCACTTGGCTCTGTCATATCCTCACATGGCCTCTCCTATCATTGCTACGCTGACGATACACAACTAATCTTCTCCTTTCCCCCTTCTGATAACCAGGTGGCGAATCGCATCTCTGCATGTCTGGCAGACATATCAGTATGGATGACGGATCACCACCTCAAGCTGAACCCTGGCAAGACGGAGCTGCTCTTCCTCCCGGGGAAGGACTGCCCGTTCCATGATCTCGCCATCACGGTTGACAACTCCGTTGTGTCCTCCTCCCAGAGTGCGAAGAGCCTTGGCGTGACCCTGGACAACACCCTGTCGTTCTCCGCTAACATCAAGGCGGTGACCCGATCCTGCAGGTTCATGCTCTACAACATTCGGAGAGTACGACCCTGCCTTACACAGGAAGCGGCACAGGTCCTAATCCAGGCACTTGTCATCTCCCGTCTGGATTACTGCAACTCGCTGTTGGCTGGGCTCCCTGCCTGTGCCATTAAACCCCTACAACTCATCCAGAATGCCGCAGCCCGTCTGGTGTTCAACCTTCCCAAGTTCTCTCACGTCACCCCGCTCCTCCGCACACTCCACTGGCTTCCAGTTGAAGCTCGCATCTGTTACAAGACCATGGTGCTTGCCTATGGAGCTGTGAGGGGATCGGCACCTCTGTACCTTCAGGCTCTGATCAGTCCCTACACCCAAACGAGGGCATTGCGTTCATCCACCTCTGGCCTGCTGGCTCCCCTTCCTCTGCGGAAGCATAGTTCCCGCTCAGCCCAGTCAAAACTGTTCGCTGCTCTGGCACCCCAATGGTGGAACAAGCTCCCTCACGACGCCAGGAGAGCGGAGTCACTCACCACCTTCCGGAGACATTTGAAACCCCACCTCTTTAAGGAATACCTGGGATAGGATAAAGTAATCCTTCTACCCCCCCCAAAAAATAAAAAATAAAAGAAAAAACATATTGTAAAGTGGTTATCCCACTGGCTATAGGGTGAATGCACCAATTTGTAAGTCGCTCTGGATAAGAGCATCTGCTAAATGACGTAAATGTAAATGTGTCTTACCAGGTGTACCACAGAAAAGTTAGCTATTCGGCAGCGCAAGTGGGGACACTTCAGGCTGAGGAGTAAGTTTCACACATACGCATGTGTTACATTGGCATCTCCCAAAAAGACACACAGCAAAATGCATAAAGTACCTTCAGAAAGTAGTCATACCTCTTGAATTACAGTGCATTCGGAAAGTAATCAGACCCCTTGACTTTCTCCACATTTTGTTACGTTACAGCCTTATTCTAAAATGGATTAAATTGTTATTTCCCCTCATCATTCCCCCTACAAGCTTGGCACACCTGTATTTGGGGAGTTTCTCCCATTCTTCTCTGCAGATCCTCTCAAGCTCTGTCAGGTTGGATGGGGAGAGTCGCTGCACAGCTATTTTCAGGTCTCACCAGAGATGTTCGATCGGGTTCAAGTCCGGGCTCTGGCTGGGCCACTTGTCCCGAAGCCACTCCTGTGTTGTCTTGGCTGTGTTCTTAGGGTCGTTGTCCTGTTGGAAGGTGAACCTTCG